TCTCAAGGGTTCGTTTCCCTCCTCCAGCTCCTGGTTCGTTCTCTTCGACAACACGAGTCACACCATTCTATGGTGTGTGTGTTTTAATTTCGGCTCCCACTGGAGAGGCACTAGGTTTCAATGAGTTCTAATTTACCATCTGATGCCGACATGAATCTGAGACCTAATTCCTCTGAGTAGGTGTTGATGAGAGACTCGCAAGACCTATGAGCCAACACCGTGACTTCTCTTAGGGCAGCAAGACAGAATGAACCGGGTCAAATGTCAGACATTCCAGGCTCTCTCCCTGTTTGAGCAAACTACTCTGCATTTCTGAATCTTGGCTTTCTCTTGCTTAAAGCAAAAAGTTGGGATTAAATTGTGCTACCTCTTATTCTGAGTTGTAAGGTTCACAAATACTTCAAGATAAAAGAAAGGGGATCTTGAGAGCAAGTCGTACCCGAATTCAGATGCATTTTCTGGTTCATCGACCCCTGTAGCACGGGATTGGGAAGATACAGAATCGTACAAAGTAGGTATTGCACAAGGGAGCGTGTCAAAGACGGGAAGTGCTATTCTCAATGAATTGCCAGAATGAACATTCCTACCATGAACCCTGAAGCCCGCCCGCCCCCCAGCCACCTCCTACTCCCACACCCCCCCACACAGCCACCTAGGAAGAACTGAGACATTTTGAAAAGAAACCAACACAAATTCGTCAGGAGCCTAGAAAAAGACGAGACTAATTATTTGCTAGTCCTATTGTCAGGCTGTTTGACGTTAGCCAAGTTTCATATAGTTTCAAGTTTCATTTACATAAGAGTACCCCTGATGTTTTACAGGGGTTTTCTTGTTATAAAACGCTCAAAATATTGACCTCCTTGGAAACATTTCTTCTTACACTCCATTGAATTTTATAAATGTCTTTTCTTTGGTTACTTGAATTGTCATTAAGGGTACCCCCACCTCCCTATGAGTTCAACGCTTTAGATCTATTTCTCGTCTTCTGTTGGAATGACATCATCATTATTTGTTAAGAAAATGATTATGATGCCTCCAAGGCTCAAGTCCCACATGCAATCCATTAAAATCAAATGAGTGTGCCCGGGAAAGAGATGCAGGTTCAAGCCCCTGAAGAAGGATATGACTTCGAAAGCCAAATAAGCAGCAGGGGCGGGTGAACTATGAGGTGGTAACATCCCGGGCTGGAAACAAGTATAGGACTGGTTGTCATCAACGCATTGCACTTGAAGCAGCACGGCAGCTCTGTAAGGTACACAGTCATGCTTCCAAGGATCATTGCTGCTTATGAAATTGAGAAGCACCCAGATACTGGGAACCTTCAATGTGCTCAGCATCAGGGGAAGAGATAATAATATAGAATTGAAATACACCCACTATTCTCAAGGGATGTCTACCTGTAGTTTAGTACCCTGCTCTGTAGCAAAGTTGGCTGTGAGATTGGTGAGACTAAAGATCTTGTCACTGACCGCTAAATTGCTAGTGCTTAGTGTACACCCCAGAATACAGAAGTAACATAATAAATGTGGGATGAAGTAGTCACCTCGTGTAATACCCTTAGCTGAATATTCATGTATCCTCCCACCCCCCTGAGATATAAGCTACTCATTGTAAAACAAAAAAATCAGAATCTTTCTAAGTTAATTGCAGATTTTATCGATTTTAATTGTGCAACAATACATTCTACATACATATATATGTTATCTTGATTTATTTTTTATATTTTAGGTTATTGATATCAAGCTCTATAGGCTACACAGGTACACATGACACATGACTGTTGATCCATTCCCATGATAACAATAATTTCTGGATACATAGACATACAAGTTGAACATGTACGGGAAAGAGTATGGGAACAGATGCACAAATAGATATAGGCTTGGCACAGGATGTCTCCACCTTTGTATTTACATATGCTGCAAGTATATTTATAAATAGACTGTACGAGGAACAAAGCTTTGAAAACGTCTTAGCCACCCTTCGAGAGATTGAGTCCCTGAGCCTGGGGTCTGTGGTGCGTAGTCTCAGATCAGTTCGAGGCCAATTGGCACAACATAGTCCACACACACTAAGTTCTACATGCTACTTTGTGGTGGTTGGTAGGCGCCATCAAGTCGGTTCTGATTCTCAGTGACACTGTGCACAACAGAATCAAACACTTCCAGGTCCTGTCCCATTCTCATAGATGCCGTTATGTTGGTGCCCATTGTTGCAGCCATTCCGGGAATCCATCTTGTTGAGAGCTTCCCTTTTTTCACTGCCGCTTGACTTTGCCAAACATGATGTGCTTCTCAAGGGACCAGTCTCTCCTTGCAATATGTCTAAAGTATGTGAGACAAAGTATCACCATCCTTACTTACAAAGAGGGTTCTGGCTATCCTTTGTCCCAAATGGGTTTGTTAGTTCTTTGTTAGTCTATGGTATTTTCAATTTTCTTCTCTAGCACCATAATTCAAATGCACAATTCTTCTGTGCTCTTCCTTCCTCAGTGTTCAACTTTCATATGCATATAGGAGGTGATAAAAAATACCAAGGGCTGGATCAGGCACATCTTAGAACTCAAAGTAACAGTCTTGCTTTCACCACTTTAAAGAGATCTTGTCCAGCAGATTTGCCTAAGAGAGCGCATCATCTGTTCTCTGGACTGCTGCTTCCATGAGCATTGCCGGTGGATCCTAACAAGATGAAATTCTTGGCAATGGCAATCTTTTCTCCACTCCTCATGATGCTACTATTGTTCCAAAGTGTCAGTAGTTTGAAACCACCAGGAGCTCCAAGAGAGAAAGGTGGGCCTTTCTACGCCTGTCGAGCTCCTGTCTTGGAAATCCACAGGGTAGTTCTAGCTGGTCTTTTAAGGTACCTATGAGTCAGCTTCAATTCTATGTTGATGAGTTTTTTCCTTCCTTTTAAAAAACAAACAAAACTATTGGTCCAGTTGTGAGGCTGTTAGTCATTTTTACATTGAGCTGTAATCCATCATGAAGGATGCACTCCTTAGTCATCATCACCCAAATGCTTCAAGTCTTCCTCAATTTCAGCAAGCAAGGTTGGATCATCTGCTTATCATCGGTTGTTAATGAGCCTTCCTCCAATCTTGTTGCTGCATTCTTCCTCCTCTAATTCAGCTTCTCTGATTACTTGCTCAACATACATATTGAATAAGTATGGTGAGAAGATATAATCCCGACACATACCTCTGTTAATTTGAAACCATATAGTAGTCCCTTGTTCTGTTTGCACAGCTGCCTCATGATCCATATACAGTTTCTGCATGAGCACAATGAAAATTGCTGGAATCACCATTGTTCTCTTGCCTATCCATAGTTTTTCATGGGCAACACAGTAGAATGTCTTTTCATAGTCAACAAAAGACAAATAAATATCTTTTTGAATATTCTGCTTTTAGCCAAAATTCATCTGACATGAGCAATGATGTTCCTCTATTTCTGAATCTGGTCTGAACCTCTGGTAGTCCCTGTACTGTTGCAACTGTTGTTTTAGTTGATTTTCAGCCAAATTTTACTTGCATGTGATATTGTAGTAAAATATGCAAAGACAAAGTTAGAAAATACCCTACACTGGTGAGTGGCAACTAACATCTTAAAAGTGGGAGTAGTCAATTAAGATGCAAGTGTTCGTTCTCCATACCCTGACCAAGGATGAATGGAAACAATCCAATGGACTAGACCACCAAAACCCTCAGCGTCCAATGACTTTGAGACCAGAACTGGTTGGTGCTGGCCACCACCACCAACTGCTCTGAAAGGAATCATGTTAGAGGTACTGGATAGGGTAAGAGAAACATATGGACCTAAACTCAAAATCATCAAAATGACCAAGGCTCTCTGGTTCAATAGTGACTAGTGGAACCCACTGTGATTACGGCCCTTAGTCACCCTTCAAAATGGAAGTGAGGTCACCTCCAATAGGGAGACACTCACACCAGGCAGCAATGCATGCTTCAGATCAAGCAACCATCCACTGTCAAAATGCAGCGTTTGCTCAAAGCCAGGCTGCGTTAGGAAGGCAGGGGGGATGGGAAAGAAGAGGGAAGCAGGAACACAGGGTAGAATTGGTATGAGGGATGACTCTTTGTGGGGCTTGCAATCAGTGACATGAAGCAAAATGTGTAGGGATTGTTGTATTACCTTCTGATGTGCTCTTTCACCCAGTTTACAATAAAAAGTTAGAAAATAAAGTTCCCAATTATTCCCTACCTTTTCTTTGACATAAATCATTAATAATGAAGATCAGCTTTTTTATGTATGAATTCACTATTCATTTATAACAAGAACAATGCACTTTAATTCATTATCTGTTTGATGTTGAATCAATATCAAGACAGTCACTCGGACAAGAATTTGCAGGCCTTCTCATAGCTCTTTGTTATAAACTAAAAACCAAAATAAAAACCCAAACGAACAAAAAACCCAAACCCAAACTTACCACCGGTATCAAGTTGATTTGACTCACAGTCACTCTATGAGGCCAAGCAGAACTTCAGGCTGTGAATCTCCATGGGGGCAGAAAACCATATTTTTCTCTGGTGGAAACAGCTGGTGGGTTTGAATTTCTGGTGCATTTGAATGCTAACCTTGTTGCTAGCAGCTCAACCCTAAACCTATTACAACTACTAAGCTTTCTTCTTTTTGACATCAAAGCAAACTCAAACGCACTGCCAATGGGTCAATTCTGACTCATTGCCATGCCATAATATAGAGTTGAACTGCTCAGGTGGGTTTCAGAGGCTGCCAGTCTTTCAAGGAGCAGACTGCCTCACCTGTCTCACTTGGTTTGAAACTGTTGACCTTGTAGTTCGCAGCTCAGCTCACCACTCACTCTGCCACCACAGCTCCTTCTTTCTCTTTGACGTAGGCACAGCCAAATCATTGTCATTTTGAAGGACGAGTTTCATCATTTTCTTACACTACTTTCCACCCAAACAATCACGGGGCTAGATCAAAGGTACAAGAACATTACCCTGCACCATGACTTACCTGTAGTTTTGCTTTTCGTTTCCTATGTGGAACCGGTCATACTGTGAATAGGCACGGCTTCCTTCCCAGTCCATTAGCTCAATTCTTAGCATGTACTGCCTCTGACTGGTTATAGCAAAAATAAACTCATTCCCCAGCCAGTACTCGCCAGAGGGATTTCCAAAGCCCTGAGGAAGAAGATAAAAATGCAGTCATTAGTTTATAGAAAAGCTCTCTTCCTATGTAACAATTTAAGTAATTGAAAAACCAATAAGTATAGAGCTTTTCCATTTTCACATTCTTAATTTTTTTCATTGGCTGCCTTCCCTTAGTGTTTTTCTGTTCTGTGTCCTGTTAAGTTGAAGTCCAATTCTTAGCTGCAGTATAACTTCTATTATTGAAGTGCTGATCGATGGGTTAGTTTTGGATGAACTGAGTCTAGTTAATAAGTTTAACTAGACAATATGCCTCAATGAAGAGATTGTTTTTGAAGATATTACTAAAATACTGGTTAATGAAATATCATTAAGTATTACCAGGATAGTATCTAGCCAGTTATTTATCAATACTATTATTAGGTTTGTTGTTGTTGCTGCTGCTGCTATTATTATTATTTGGGGGTTCAATTATAATCCACATACAGGTTAGTATGAGACCATTTTGTTATTTTACAGTTTTTGTTTTGTGATGTTAGTAAATGATAGGTGTGCTCTGACATGCATGAGCTAGTGCATGAACCTAGCTGGGTGCTCTGTTCCGGAGCATTGAAGTGGCCTTTTAGTTTTGTTAAGGACAATTCCAGTCATGGTTTGTAAGTATTCAGTGTAATGTGTGAAGGGAAAAGAAAGTAGTATCCATAAGGAAAAATGATTCTCATTGTTGGTGATGTTAGTGAGAGCAACATATGGAGTTCTGACAAACGGCAGGCATTCCGACCTCGGATCTTCTCATGGGCTGTGGGATGTGGCCTTGACAATGCTTGGAGTCCATCCTAAAGCTTGGCCCATGTGTTTCCTTCCTGAACAGACTGTGCAGGTTGTGTTTGTGAATGTTCCTAGACTGGAGTGCTGGCCCTGTAGATGTGTTTACTGGAGGACAGAGAACATGGGCGTGCAGAGGAAGAAGCAAGGTAGGAAGAGAGGGCGGAAAGAAGCAAAATACTCTAATGGAACCAGTTGCTGTCAAGTAATCCCGAGCCATAGGAACCCTGTAGGGCAGAGTAGAACTACCTTATAAGACTTCCAAAGCTGTAAATTCATATGCAGGTAGACTGCTATATCTTTCTCAGTCACTGAGTGCTTCACCAGTGAGCCATCAAGGGCTGTGCAAAATATTCAAAATAAAAATCAAACTCACTTCCACTCAGTGGAGTCTAACTTATTGGGACCCCATAGGCACAATAGAACTGCCCTACCACTCACAGAAATAACATTAAACCATAATTCTTGGAGGCAATTTGGTTGAATCCAAGGGATGTGTTACTAAAAGTATTCAATTGACTCATAAGCTCAAAAAAATCACTGCCATGGAGTTGATGTGCACTCATATCAATAGTCACTGGAATTCTGGTCAAAATTCATCCTTCCTAGCCCAGCACTGAGTCCAAACATCTGAGAGTATCCCCCTCGGCATTGGAACAAGTACCCTACCTTGGCTTGAGCTCTTTCGTATTGGAAAGGTACATCTCCAGAAACCACCGACCAGACAGACTCTGCTGCCTTATGAGGAAGAAGTTCTGACTCATAATGCTGTCACTAATAAAGGTTTCATTAGAGCTAGATTGATGTGATTACACTATGGAATGATATGGTGTATATATATTCACTCCCAATTAATAATATTTTTTTAACTATTGGTAGAAAACAAAAACATCTTTATTTTCTTAACATAGATAATACCCCAAACCATACTCATTTCCACCAAGTTGACTCAGAGCAACCAGATATAGGGTTTCCAGTTGACCAGTCTTTAGGGCAACAAGTAGCTTCACCTTTCTTGAGCTAAGTAGCTGGTGGGTTTGAACAGCCAATGTTGCTGTTAGCAGCTCAGTGACACCAAGACTCCACACAGGTGTTATGTTTTGGAAAATCTATGCCTCATTTTCTATTTAAATGAAAATAGATTTTACACGCTATAACTATAGAAAATTCTCTAAACTGCATTTTCCTTTTCACAACATAACAAAAAGAAAGCTCTTCATTCGTTCTTTAAAGTATATTGATGCCCTGTCCCATAAAAAGCAACCTACTATGATGAGTCAATCTTAATTTCAATGCATAGTGATCTTATATAGTATTTCTGAGGATGTAATCTCTACAGGAGTGGATAGCCCATTTTTCTCGCAAAGAGCAGCTGGTGGTTTTGAAATCCTGACTTTGAGGCTATCAGTCCAACCAAGGGCACCACCAGAACACATGGGAATGTATTCAGTGGATCTGTGCAGTGCTATTTGCTCAACAAAATTACATTCTTGCCAAAAGCAAGATGAGGTTGACCCCACACCTGGTTATGCCAACTCTGTTCACGTAAGGACAATCTTTATAAAATGGTAGTAATGTAGTGACTTAAATAATAGTGAAGAAAGAGGGTGATTTTTTAAAAAATAAATCCTAATTTAAATGTTAGTTTTATCCAACAAAACAAATCATGTGAGGAAAAAATATTCTTGAATTATGCGTTGTTGAAACAACATTAAAATATTTGAAAAAGTGATGCACTTCCAGGTAAGTCTTTAGTTAGTTGCATCTCTCTCAAGTATTTTCTTCCTTAAAAAACAAAACAAAATATAAAACCAGAAATTGAGTGCAATCCAGTAGGGGGAATGTTTATGTAAGAACCATTGGCCCAGAATCTGATTTCTTGGCCATGTATTAGAAAAAGGAACACATGAATGTATATTTTTATAAGTAAAATTAAACCGAAATGTATTACTGTATTTGAGTATGCTTATAAGTTATTTTTCAATTTAATTATTTTTTAAAAATGTGTTTCTCATTAGGTGTACAGCCTTAATCTCGATTGCACCGGGTACGTATTTCTCTGAAGGCAGAGCGAGAGCTCAGCGCAAACAGAGAAGACGTGTTGAAATGAATGCATAAGTGGCTTCTTCCTTCTCTCTTCCGGAGCTGCTCTCAGTCACCTTTTGCTGAAGCTCCACAGTGGCAGGGTATACTACTGCAATTAAGGATGTACAAAGCATTTTACACATTGTTATGGCAGCCCTTGCTATATACTAGGGAGGAGAGCAGACCTTTGTCAATAAGCACCAAGAAAGCTACAGGGGGCTGAAAGCCAAAAGAATTAGCACCTTCTCAGTTGCGGAAGCCACATGGAAGAAGAGCAGTGGCCCTTTCCTTGTACTTCTCAGTTCAGACCCTCCTCAGCTCTCCCTCCGGCCACTTGACAATTCCCTCTTCTGGGTAGTCGGTGAGGAGGGATGCATGAATTGTCCTCAGTGTGAGTAAGCAGGCTGAGAATGATGAGGTGTTAAGTTTTAGGCTGCATCATTTCCTACTGTTGAAAGCATGTGGATAAAGCTCTCCGGCTTCCCCAGGGGAAAGCGCAGCATCCCCAGGAAACCCCTGACACGGACGAACATCAGCATCTTTCTGGCCACAGACTGACTCCATCCGGGCCATCCAGGCTTGCAGCCTGCACCTCCCTAAAGAAGAGATAAATATCCCTTCCAAAACAGTTTGCTTTATCTGACTGGAAATAGAGGAAGAAACGACTGGAGAGAAAGCAATGACATCCGCTGTAAGAAGTCAAGCTTCTGTTCCATGCACCTTCCCCCAATGTTGTCCAGACAGGCTCTACTGGGGGAGCAGGCACCGAGGACCGTGCATCAGAGTGGCTGTCAGAGAGGTAGTGCAGGGAGGAAACCTGCTAATACCAAGAACAGTGAGGCAGACATTAGTATTTTATCACGCAGAGGAAAATTAAGTGAAAGAAGGGGAAGTGGGTTCCCACATTAGTAACCTGCCTACTGGGTAGTTTTTTAGGCACTGAAGAATCTGATGCATAGGAGAGGAGGATTTGGGGGTAAAATCGCCCCTGCTTCTTTTCTGTGCTCCAATTAAAACCTTGGCTCTGCTCATATTTTACCCACCATGAAATGTTCTACTGGACTTGGAAGCCTTAATTTCCTTCTCTACAAAACAGGGAGTTTTAAAAGTAGCTTCCATAGTGTTGTGACAGTGGGATGGGATAATATACCTAAAGCACTTAACTGATATACCAGAAGCTGATATACCAGAAGCGCCTAACAAAATTGTAGGTCTTAGTAATATAGAGGATATAATACTACATAGTACTTCTCATGAAAACTATGTTTAATGATCACCAGTCCATCACTGGAAATGTGAATGCCATAATTTGGAGACGTTTGCAAAAGAAAAACAAACACTTTGCTTTGCAAGAGTGTTTCAGAACGTGATTGTCTTGTCTCTCTCTTTTTTTTCCCCTTCTAGTTCTTTAATAGCAGAACAAAATACTGGAATTAAACTAATGCTGACTTAAATCTGGCCTTAAAAGCTACATTTTACTGGAAACAAAGATGTATACTGAGAAAAGCCTGTATTTGTAAGTCCCCCCAACCCAAACCCAAAGAAATCTTTAATCTCAGGTTCCCCCAAATCCAAAGAAATCTTTAATTTCAATCTTTGTTTTCCCAAGTGAATAAAATGCTTATCTCTAATGCTTTATTTATTTTGTCTGATAATGGTCATATAAGGTGTTGACTTTTATAGATGAAATCAAATCTAAAGCAGACAGTCTCTGTGTATTCTGGGTTTCATCTCTGTGTGCAAATGATGAAAGAAACAGATAAGAACCCAAGGAGGCTGAGCTGTGGCTTTCCAAAGGTGCTTTATGGCACAACACATTCCCCCTCTCCTGGAACTGCCGAGAGACTCAGCACAGGAAAGATCAAAACGTGACCCAATTCAACACTTTAAATTTCTTGTGTATGTTTCTCCTTTTAATAGGAAGATGCTAAAACACAGCTGAAATGTACTCTTAATTTCTTTCTCAAAACAAAACCAAACCTCCCAGATAGTATGGTACTCAGGTGGAAATACTTGCATCAATAGGAAGTTCTGTTTATGGGGGTAATTGTTTCCAATACAAAGCTGGCATGTCTACAGGGCCTACTATAAACTTGGAGCACTAGGGTGCTGTTTGGAAGGCCTAGCTTCAGTGGTCTTTATGTGAACAACACTGCTGATAAGTGTTATTGCTGGAGACCACTAAATGGTCTCTTGGCTAGAAGGAGTTAACCTAGTTCCCTAAGTGCCTCATGAAAGGCCCTATTCCAGACTTCCCTTTCGGCAAACACCTTGACAATTCCATAAACCAGATTTACCCGAATCTCGTGAGGAAGGCTTAAGGGGAAACAAAGATCAGGTGAGAGACACTCTAGGCTTCAGTGTGAGGACTCAAATAAATGAGGATCTTTTCACATTCGGTGAAGTTTCAAAATCATATATCCTTACAATTTCTCTGTGTTGATAACTTTAAATATAGCTCTGGAAACTGTATGAGGTGGGAGTCAGTTCATAAAAATTATCCAGCACTAAGGGACGGAGGGAGGGAAGGCAGAAAGGGAAATCTGATACCTGTACTAGTGCCTGAAGACGAAGTATGGTGTCCTATTGCCCTTCAGTGCTGTGGTCTACTCTGCCTATGGTGACCATGTGCACAGGGCAGCTACTCCATCGGGCTTCCAAAGCTGTCATCTTTCAGAAGCACGTGGCCATGCCTAAGACTCTTCTAAGATAGCTCTGCGTGGGCTGAGCAGCCCGCCTTTTAGCGAAGAGTCACGCGCTTCAACATTTGCGTCTCCCCAGGGACACTGGTGTCTTAGTGCATATAAAAGCAGATCAGTCGAAATTGGGAAGGAATGGGTACATGTGGAAGAAGTCCTATTTTCCCGAAGGACATACACCCTGCCCTGAGCAGTGGGAGCCCGATCTTCTCACCCAGGGGATAGAAATGGGTTTGAGTGATAAGAATGGCAGAGGAGATCTGTGGCCAATCTTGGTGAAGTTAAGATAGTTTGTCTTTGGTGGTCAAAACAAACAAACAAATAAAATGTTTGGGAGGGAAAAACTAAAATGTATTCTACCACGTGCATTGCTGTAACAGATGATGAATTCTTTTCATTAAAAACAGAAAATCACTGGATTCATTTTTTGCAAGAGTGTTTCAGGACTTTAGTCTTTGTCTTGTCTCTTTTTTGACATGAAGAATTGGCATTGAGCTGATATGTTTTTATGTTTAATAAAATGATTGTTTTTAATTGTTTTAAATGGAGGGGTAGGTTCTCTCACAGCTATAACTAAGCAGTAACTAAAATCCTGTTCCAATAACAACAACAACAAAAAGATATGCTCACCCATAGATATATCTGGTAAATATTTAAATTAGATGAATCAATTCTATACTTCAAATGTCAGTTTCTCTTACTTAGAGAGCCTTGTTAGACAAGGCAGCAGATGGTTACATCTAATAATCCACTGTTTGGGAAATGTACCTCAGAGACAACTTTATATTCATTTTCTGGTGTTATTTTAATATTAATAACGCTGTATTTCAGATTTTCCTGGGTGTGTATTATAATTTGATTATCAGATAATCTCCTCAGATCCCAGTTTAAGAGTGAAAGTAACCATAAGTTATAATGGCTCACAAAGATATATACCTAAGTACATACATTTTTGGCAGAGTTAGGTAAGATTTTTTTCAGTCTTTGATGTCTTAATAGTGGATAATAATAATAACCATTTATTGAAAACATACTGTGTGCCAAGTACTATACTTCTGTGATTTCTAATCCTTGAAACATCCCTGAAAGGCAACTTAATTATTATGGTCTCCTTTTAACTATTATAATGCTGGTATGTGTTAAATAACTTGCCAAAGCTCATTCTAGTACATGGTAGAGTGACGACTCAAATTGTTAATATAAATATCATTCAAAGCCTTCCTTTAGAGCTTCCACTCAAACTAAACTCACTGTCGTGAAATCGATTCTGACTATAGACCATCTTATTACCCATATATTATAATAACGTAGGCTGAAAGAAGCCTTAGAATCATCCCTAACTTTGCAGTTGTCTACAACATCCCTAAAAGATGGTACTTTGGCTTCCATTAGGATATCTGTACGGAAGCAAGAACCTTGCCACTTAATAAACCATTCCTTTCATGGTTGGATAAAATTCACCTCTAGAAAGTTTTGTTCTGACTTAGTCATATTTGGCCTGTCTAGGATGTTTCACCATCCATTCGGAATCTGTCCTTCAAAGCAATTGTTTCCAAACATTAATATGCCCACAAGTCACTTGGGAATCTTGTTAACATGAATATTCTAATTCAGTAAATCTAGTGTAGAGCTTGAGATATTAACAAATTCCCAAGTGGTGCTGGCTCCTGCACTACACTTGGAATAGCATACACTTCCACTCAATCAATTAAACTCCTGCATAGGTTTGTATACACACACACATGCACACACACAGGTGCTTTATAAATGTCTGTAAAAATTCCATTATCTTTTCATTCAAGTTCATTATGAACCTTTGAAAGCTCTCCATGTGTATGTGTACATGAGTATATGCGTGTGTGTGTGTGTGTGTGTGTGTACTTTATGTATAACCAAAAAACCAAACTCATTGCCATCGAGTCAATTCCAACTCATAGCGACCCTAATGGATAGAACTATAGGCTTGGATTGGATAGGATACGATAGGATAGAACTACCTCTGTGGATTTTGTAGAATATAACTCTTTGTAGGACTAGAAAGCCTTATCTTTCTCTCGAAGCTGGTGGTTTTAAACTGCTGACCTTTCCGTTTGCAGTGCAACACATAACCACTATGCCACCAGAGGACTTTATGAATATAGGTTACAAAACAGAATTAGCAATTGGTATCTTTAAAGCTCATGAGTGAATATCCAAGGTGAAAATATTGGTCTCATCCTGTTGGGAAGAGTAGGGATGAAAGTCTAACACCCATGTCGGGGGCGGGGTGTCTAATGGACTGATGGGTCGTATGAGCAGTGGGCTCCATTTCCCTGAGAACAGAATCACTAGGTGCCTGGCTACCCCTACAACCTTTTCTGCAAGGGATCACATTGGGAAATCCCGGAAAAAGTGGGAGACAAATGTGAAACGAAGCTCAAAATCCTGAAACAGACCACGGTTGCTGAGCTGACCGAGGCTGTGGGCCTTGGTCACCCCCCTGTCCTGGAACTGAAGTCACTGCAGTGGTTCAATTTCCAGCCAAAGTAGAGACAGGTTTATCAGGAGAGCAAGCACGCTAGTGAGGTACACACACCTCAGAATAATCAATCACTGAGGACCAAGACGGCAACAGTTACCTAGAGTCAAAGTTCAGAGGAGTTAAGAAACGGGATAGAGACAGGAAACATGGGAGGTGATGGAATGGGTGGTGCTTTATCGATGGGATTGTAATGCATGAGATGAAACAGAATGTGTAGGAATCACTGGATGTAAAACTGAGAATCTGCTCTGTAAGCCTTCATCCAATCCAGCACTGAGTTCTAATTGGCCCCACCCTCATTCACATATGAATCAAGTCCAAGCAATACATAACAATTCACCAATAATTTCAGTAATGTGTTTTTCTTTCTGATGCTCACATGGAAATAATTTACTGAAAATGATTTATGAGTACTATGTGTATAATGAAAATAATGCTATTAATGTATCATGTTATGTTTAACATAACTCAAAAACACCCCGAATTGCAAGAGTGTAGTGTGGTGTTGATAACCTTATGATAAAACATAAAAAATTACCATAAATTATTCCCTCTTACCATTTTATATTCTTTCCAGCCTCTTTGGAAATCCAGACTTCCATCCTCACGATGTTGTATGACTGTCCAACCTCCCCCATTAACATCCATATTGCAAAATACCTGTCAGGTAAAGGGAGAATAAAGTCAGTTATGTCTATCTTAAAGAAGTATACATCAGCTATATTTCAAACCAGAAACAGGATAGGAAAGTCTATAGATAAGAAAGAATAGATTTGCTGTTAGAAAATGGTAAATTAGACATTGTATTGGTTAGTTCTTCTTATGATTCATATTTGACTTATTTTTGATTAAATTCCATCTATGGCAGATACATTGTAAACTTTTAAATCAGTCAGCTGAAGTTTAAGTCTCAGCTTATAAAATATTTAAATAATTCAGCCAAGTGGGAATAGGCATTTGTGTGTGTTCAATTTTTTAAAAATGCTACTCAATTACAGATCATCTTATTGCCAAAACATAAGACTAAGAATGTAAAAATATTTAGTAAATTGAAATGGCAATATAATAATGGTTTTGAAAAAATAATATTTTTAAATCACATGTAACTACTACATGTTTCAGTGCAAATTACTTACTACATACTCACATGCTACAATAGTTATTCTTGATGGCTCAATATTACATTAGAGGCAAACTGTGGTCCCCAGCATATGGGGAACACATTATTTGAACGAATTTTAGTCATGAACAATAAGCAAATATGACATACTGTATTTCTTCTGACTGTGACATTTCTTTACCATATGGGAAAGTTATCCAAATCTCTTAAAGACTTATGCTTATTTCAATTATTCCAAATACAATAGTATTCATTTAGAAATGGAATCATTTCCCCCAGAGTCCACCCAAGGAGAAAAACATAACTGTAATGGGATTACCTTTGGAAACCAATCGCTGTAATTAATGTAGCGCAAATGTGGCAGCTTGATTATTCAAGGGCCTGGCTTTAGGGAATAGCATTCCCTTGGCAGTAGACTACGGGGCATTTTGGAAGCTGACTTCAGGTGTGGCTATGCAGCAACAACAGCAGGCAGCGTGTGTGGGCAAAGAGCTAAGCTTCAATTAGAGGACAAACCTCAAGTGTTCTCCCGAGGCACTTAAGCTGGAGCAGGAGTAGCTGAAGGGTATGGAAGCAGTGGGAAGACCTGTCACTCACAGACAAATGGTTCCCGTACTGCCTCAAATGAAAAGAAACTAAGAGATACATGTCTATTTGTGAACATATAAAATAGGTCAAATGATTCCCTGAGGGTTCTTGCTCTAATTTGCCAACAGCCACCCACCTGAGGTCTTCATCATCCTTAGGAATTGCCCCGGATTCAAGACTATACCAATTTGAAGTTCCCTTCCCTGTCCCAGGCTAATTCCCTAAGTCTTCTGTATTTAATCTTTGTCCTCAGCACAACCTGTAGCTAGTCTTTAGTCCTCCTAAATTTCAGTTCATTCGTTCGTTTTTCCCCAACAACAAGCATTTGTGGACACCCATTTCATATTGAAACTGGGACTATTATGATGAGTGAATATGGATCATGTCCTCAAGACGTTTCAATACTAACTGTTCCTGGAAGGGTAAGGACACATACGAATTGACAGGATTCAACCCCAGTGACATAAGAGTGTTAGAAGTGGTGATCAGAAGGAGAAATTTAAGAAGTAGAGCTAACGCATGACAGAAAAATCAAATTACCCTAACTTTGGACACTTAGGGTCTGAGGTGAGGTAGCACAGGTACCTAAAGGGGGTGATTATTGAAGTAGAGCTCTACTCTAAAAATCATGCCATCACATTTTTAGAATCAGTGTTTAAATATTATTCTTTAAATCCTTTGTTGAGAAGTTAAAGATGATCTTGAAAGTGGACCAAGAATAAGAATCTTGATAGGGATTAAGATCATTTAATTTAAAAAGGAAAATCCATTAACAAGGCTATGGTTGTTAAATGCCATATAATTTCAATTCTTTATATGCATTTCAAAGATTAATTTCACAACACACCTAAGTGTGCTCATTATCTTCATTTCAAAGGTGAAAGGAAAAAAAAAAACCTCAGGCAGTACCATAATAAGTGATCAATGGTCCTGTTTATAATAAATACTGGATCCAAGTTTTAAACCCCAGGTCTATTTATTTTCAAAGTAATCTATTTGAAATTAGTAGTCAATGAAATGAAAACGTAAGAATTATAAAGAAGACAAAAATGGAGACAGTTATGCAGGGAGGCAGGTGGATATTAGAATGAGTTTGGTAAATCACTGATAGGGCTAAAAACCCATCAGTAACCATGATGTGGGCCAGGACTTTGTTTTATTTGCTTCTGTCCCTCTTAGTAGAATGTCCCTAGTCCGTGATAGACACTAACTTTGTGTTAAATGAATAAAGATGAATAAAGAAAAGTAAAGTAGAAAACTTAGAATAATGGAGTTCAAAGAAAGTTGGAGATGGATTCTAAGTTAGGGATGTGATTTACTTCATCAAATACTCTAGAGAAGACGAGCTGAATAAAGGCGAGGAAAATAACAACCTTCAATGTTAAGAGGAGGAGAGACATTCATGATGATGGGAAAGTGAAGGATCACCCTGTAGATAAATCCAGAGGGTACAGCGTGAAGTGGGCAGAGGTGATGAAGCAGGAGAAATGGCGCAGGTGGAGCATTTAAAGGTGAAATTTAAATCAATGCAAGAAGTAAAAATGTCAAGAAAAGTTTGTGTTGGTTTAGACTACTACAATTATTCCTCCATTGAATTATATCCTGATTTAACCAACTAATCCAAGATATATTTTCCTGGAGTTTTACTTCTTAATGGACAATAATTGCCTCGGAGTTTGCCAAATTGTGTTTGCCAAACTATAAAGTCCAGTTGCAAACTCGGGGAAGGGTGTTACAACGATTGCAAATAGTGTGGGGGAAACTGTGCATGTGCAGGTTAAAAGAACAAACAAAAATCCAAAATACCATTATCTATGTTATTAATGTTCTGCACACTTAGAGTTTTAAAGTCACTTACACACACACACACACACACACACAAATACAAGAACATCAAAGATCCTTGTAAGCCCAGGTGGCATGCTGTGACGTGTCAATGGGAAGATGTACCAGAGTGTGTCTTAAATCTCGGCTCAGGGGAAGTCAGGTTTGGGTGGGGTGAGAGAAATGACGCAGATGGATGACCAGGTTGAAAACTGAAGCACAGAGAAGCCAAAGCTTTGACATCTACTTGGCAAGGACTCAGTAAAGGCAAGACTCCCAGCTGTCCGTTATGGAGTATGAACACAGGGAGCTGAATGCAATGTCTGTGTGGATGCTAGACTTTCTGGGTCCATATCCTGCCTCTGATCTTTGAATCTATCTCTTAGGTTCTTCTAAAGATTAATTGAGTCATTCGGAGTAGAGTGTTTAATCCAGTGTCCAGTGCATAATAAGCATGGTCATAACTGTGCTATGTTTGAAACAGAGATTTCTACAACAACATTACAAGGGCTCCTATCAAATATATGAATAGATTGAAGATCAGCGTGGTGAGTCAAATTCACACAGCTAGAAATGTAGCTAGAAATTTTCCAACCTGGGCAGGCCCCATACTCTTTGTAACCTGTGGGCCCATCCTGAAGGAGAGGCTGTAGAAAGAGCCCGTATTAAAGCGAGAGGCTGTCTCTAAGGCTCTGTGGCCCGTGAATGTAGTGCAAAATCAGCTGACTAGTGTAAGTGGCAGAGAAGATACCGACATGGAAGGCCATTCACGATCACTACTAAGTTTGCTGCCATCGATGGATGAAGGAATTTAATTTTTAACAACAGAAAACAGCTGTGTCTTGAATTTTTCAATCATTGGTGTTTTAAAAAACATTTGTCTTGAAGAGGAATCAGTCAGTTCACTTAATTAATTACAGCTATAGGTCCCAAAGTTTTATGTCCTTAGCATAGGGGTCTGTGAAATTCACCCGAATATCCAAATATAGAAGAGTGATATAAAGTATAGTAATAGAGAGACAGCTCTTTGCCTTCTGGAAAGTCAAAGGACAAAATATTTTCTAAGTGTTTATTAAGTTTCAGTGCTAAGATTGAAGGGCACGTATCTGCATTACTTAATATTCTTCAAAGTATCATTTATTCTCATTTGATTATAATTTGTATGATATGTATGTCCTAGGTTGTATGATGTGGTCAGGTATTGTAGCAAGGAATAACAAAGAATGGGCTGTGGAATGAGATATGTTAGGGACCCAACTACATGAAATACTTTGCCTCTGAATGCTTCAGCTTCCTCCCCTCTTAATAGATGAGGTAATATATATGTATACTATACATTCATATAATATATTATAATATGCTATATCATAGAACCCATTACAATTTATTATATGTGGCATTGCATGCCATCTAGTCTATTTATAATCTCTAATAAATGAAGTGAAATACACTGGTGGTATTGCTAGGGGATGTGGAGTTGGTTCTGACTGGTTGTGACCATATTTACAACAGAATGAAACACTCCCAGCCCTGTGCCCTCCTTGTCATTGTGATATGTGAGCCCATTGCAGCCACCATGCTGTCACCCCATCTCCATTGACGGTCTGCCTCTTTTTCATATACCTTAATATATAAAACAAGACATATGTAGACATAAAACCAATTCTCCTTTGTGTTGCTATTACCAACGTGCAGTTGTTGATATCAATATTACTAAGGATCTGGTTGTATACTGGGTTATGAGTTGGGCTTCCAAGGCCAAACTCAGAGGTTTGAAACCACCAGCTGCTCCACAGGAGAAAGATGAGGCGTTCTGCCAAAGATTTACAGCCTTGGGAATCCCAGGGCCAGTTTGACTTTGTCCCATAGGATCACTGGGCGTCAACTCAACTGGATGGCAGTGAGTGAGACAGTCTTTTCAAAAGGATGCCTGGTGGCACAGTGGTTAAGTGCTTGGTTGCGCACAGAAAGATCGGTGGTTTGAATCATTGGCAAAAAGACGTGGCTGTGGGCCCTTGTAAAGATTAAACCCCCGGAGAGCCCATGGGGCAGTTCTACTCTAACCTCTCCTCTAGGGTTGCTATGAGCTGGACAGCACACCAACAACAATCTCTAACACGCTAGCGTT